GGGTGGAAAGAAATTCTCTTTTGGTGTCTCAAGCTTTATCTAACCCTTCTTTGGTTCCCCGACAACTTCAAAGGCCTTGGGGTCAATGTTTGATGATTAGTGTGTGTGTGTGTGTGTGTGTGTGTGTGTGTGTGTGTGTGTGTGTGTGTGTGTGTGTGTGTGTGTGTGTGTGTGCGTGTGCGTGTGCGTGTGTGTGCGTGCGTGCGTGCGTGCGTGCGTGTGTGTGTGCGTGCGTGCGTGCGTGCGTGTGTGCGTGCGTGTGTGTGTGTGTGTGAAAATCCAGTAACGGTTCAAAAGCATGAAATAGAATCAGTTTAAAAAAAAATTAATAAAATAACTAACATTGTTCGATTAAATTTTACAAAGAATTAAATTAAAACTTTTTTTTTTCTTTTATATGGATTAATTTGGACTCTCTAATATTTATGAAAGATTAAAATACATCTTCATTCTTAAGTTTTTTTATTTTTTATTTTTTCTTACTTATTCTTAATGCTCTTTATGATCTAATAAATTGTAAACTAAAATAAGATTATAGAAAGGAATTTCAACGAATACTTCTTGATACGAACATTCTCGCTAGTTATCACCTAGACTTAGGAATAACACCTTAAACTCTATTGTTATTGATAATTAAATGTTTTGTTTTATTTGTATTTCATTAATAGTCGTAAGTAATTAATTTACGGCTAAAAGTTTATTCATTAAGGAATTAAGGATAAATAATCTAGAAAATTAATAATTATATGTAATAAGAATTGACTATAACGAAGTTAATTTAGAATATAAAAGAGATCTAAGATCGGAGGTTAATTTAGAATATAAAAGAGATCTAAGATCGGACACGAAGTAATAACAACTATACATTCGTCATTCTTGCATAATGATCTTAGGTCGATGATTAAATCTTTTTTTATTGAACCTTTGACCAATCCATAACACATTCGAAAAGAAAATATGATACATCTTAATTAAAGGTGAAAGCAATACGTTCAAAATAAAATAAAAAGAAGAAAATCTAAATAATATTTTTCACTCCCTTATTTTATTCAATTACCATCATATTCGAGTACAAAGCTATACCATTAAGGTTCTTGACAAAAAGAAAATGAAATTCAAATTATTAGGGTGCATACATAATAATTAAATGACTACTCATAGAGTATCCTTTTCTTTTGTATCATGTGGGCATAGGAGATACTCCACGGGCTGATTTAACACATCTACACTTGGTGAATTGACATATTGGTTTCAAAGGATACAAGCATGAAACCTTTGGACAATCATCATTTTTAGAACATCTAATACTAGCTGAAATAAACAAAAGAGAACACAATAATATAACTAAAGTGAGATCAAAACATATGAACAAAGTAAAGAAGAAAATTTGAAAAAGATTAAAGCTAACTTACGGTCAAAATTTGATGCATCAAGAAAAAAGGGCAAAAAGATAACTATAATAATGCATAGAAACTTGACAATTCTAGCCATATTTACTCTCTTTGCATGTAATAAATGGTTTTGTGATTTTTATAGAGTTGTAAAAAAAAAAACACTTTCTAAATGTCTCTTAGGTCCAACAATTGTTGCTTTGCCTCTTTAACATACTTGGTATGGATGTCATATTAAAAATCTTTAAAATTATAAGAATTCACTATTTTATTTTATTGAATTTCCATTATTTTATAACCTTTCATGATAAGGTAAAATTACTAAAATATGAGTCATGTTATTAGACAACATATTTATGCATTGATTGAGTGTATTGGTTTAAATTTAACTACTAAGCATGGTCAATTAGTTGTCATTACTTCGTGTGACCCTAGGCTATGGTTATTGTATATCTTGGATTTCAAGTTCAATAATATTCTCTCCAAGAGGACATGAAAAGTTAATGATTGATAATAATGTGTGATTAGACTGATTGAAATACATGTAGTAACAATTCAAATGTACAAATCCTATAAAAGAAGTTACTCCCTAAGCCATTGGGTAATTTTCCTAAATTATAAAAGAAAAGTTATTCACATTTAGATGGATACAATATTTATTTTTAGAAACATATTATTTAAAGGAGTGCTTTAGGAAAGTATAATTGTTTTTGGCCGGTAAAAGGTTTAGAATAGATGGCTAAGGATCAAGTCAACTCAAATCTATTTCATGTTATCACATGTATAAAGTCATCTTACATGAAATGTAAGGTATATTTTTTTATCTCTATTTTTCACTACATTCATTTTGATTCTTGAACTGACTTTAGTGTTGGAGTGCTAATCTAGTAGACTCACCCTGGCGCCACTATATCGGAGATCAACACCATTGGTTCAGGATTTTGTACCAATCGATTACATTCAATTCTGATTCTTGAACAGAATAGTGGTGCCGTTTGTGGGAATAGACTTTTGATTCTTACATTTTCCACGATTCCACATTCACTCTTCAATTCGCCCGTTCCTAACATTTCCAAGTCACTAAATTAAGAGCATTCAGAATCGAAGACGAATATCCTTCGTGTTCGATCCAATCAAACAACATTTTAACTTCAATTCCTTAAATAATCGAACTTATGATTCACGTGAAAATTTCTCGAACGGATGATTCTAGATCCACTTCAGATATGTATCAGAATTACTCCCAATATCATACCAAAGGTTCTTGATCAATATTTTAATCGTGCATCACTTTAGTTATTCATGACTTCAATTATTCATCATCGACGTGATCTTTGACGGAAAGAATTTTGGCACAGATCCATGACTGACGCACCTTCTCCAAGAGGTGAAGAACCTTTGATAGATGAACGAAGATCGTGTTACATCGGAATTAATAAATCATAACGGTGCAAACCGAACTCCAAAAAAAATTATCAGTAATCAAAGTAGTTACCATCGCGAGTAGTATTATACACTGCTACAGTGTGAAGTACCAGACATGTCGATTTTATTCTATCATATCTTATTGTCACCACTGAGATTCATAACACTCATATTCTCGATGGTGATTCATCGGCTAAAACACATATTCTTTTTACCACCATGATATTGCACCAAAATTGGAAATCCAAATGCACTAAGGTGCTCGAAGAGAGAGGAAGTTTCACATATTGCATATGCACACCTGTCGGTGGTCACAATAATTTCCACCATCGATGGAATTACTTACAAGATACCTTGTAAGAAATATATTATGAGCAATAATTTTCGATTCGAGGCCATAACAATGCCAGGTCTCTGTCGATCAGAACCTGATGTACAAGATAGAAGAGACCCATTTGGTCATTAGTAGCTATGTTACTCACTCCAGTAGAATGGTGAAAGTCACGCCCCACAAGGAAGAATATGAGGGGAAAAGACACCCCAAGCCCCATAGCATTGAAGTAGAGTATCATCGAAGACATCTCTGGTGTGCACTCTCATTTAATTTCCTGTTCGACCCTGTAGATCCATAAGGAGGTGATTAGGTGAAATAAAGAAATCAGGATCAATTTGTAAGGACCGAGAGGAGACTTTGGAATATAGAACCTAATGAATCTCACCTCTGAGTAGCTACGCTCTTAAAATGAGTGAAATATGATCAGATGCCAGAGGAAAAACTTTCACACCTTCTATAGATATACCGCCAGTTACACTTCAAATGGTCATGGTGATCATCTACCCCAAAGTAAATAGAGGAGAAGACCCCAAAGTATAACACGGGGTTACTCCTAGAGACAGTCCCATGGAATCATGAAATCTACGATCCTCCACAAGCAATGTCTACAAAGGCGCCGACCATCCTATAATACGCGTTTGTTGAAGATGACAAGATGGATCTGAGGTAGACCATAATACTTTCGGCTGATGCACCGGTCAACCAAAGAAAACATGATAAAAAGGGATAGCATTGTATCCTTACAACTCCTTCTATGAATTAAGTACTCAGTAAAACTGTTGCAAAATTCCAATAATTGATATGTGAATTGTTAAAAATTGTAACCACAAAGAATGTTGTGAATTTTATGTAGGTTGGTGTAAGTCACTCTTTTCCAACAGACTTCACGTCTGAGGAGCACTCTTCTTAACATATCTGGTCCACCCCCTCTTGATAACTAGTCACTCCAAGAGCGTAGGCGGTGGAGCCTAGAGACGTCCATCCTGAATCAGGTAAACTTTGGAGGCAGGGACATGAACCTAACCTTTGGTTAGGGACGGTTACAATCAACATGGAGAAAGCATAATAATTATTCTCAACTGGAGCTAGTAACTATGAAACTCCGACTTAGACTACAGGTTTCAAAGCAAAGAAAATTCAGGGAGTTCTCACACCCTAAAGCCGACAACACCCCATAGCTTCTATCACGCCCCCTTAAAGTCGATCGATTGACACCAATGGTGCTCTCAAGGAAGAAAAAATATAAAGCGCTCATGAGGCAAACAAATTTTAAATTGCATGAATAATCAACAATCCCTAACGCATCAACAACTCACAGCCAATCAAAAGCGTAAGACGATAATAAAGCGGAGCCAAATACATATCCAAGACATGAAATTAAATAAATTCCAAATCCCTGAGGTAACAATGTATTTTTTTATAAATATTCTTATTGTAGCTAAGGTGAAATAACCTGGTAAATATTATAGGAAAAACAAAAAGAGAAATAATCTAACTTGAATACCCAAGGCCGAAGCGCTTGAATCACCCCCATAATTTCCTTTTGGAGCAGTCTTGAAGGGGTCCAACTTTTCAACAAGAATAGGGACATCAAGACACAACTCTTTCACCTAATCGACGACTTAACCAAGGACCCCATACACGCCCTGCATATTTTGTTAAAGGGAATCACAAAAATTCTTCTTCAATTTGGAAATCTCACCTTCAAGAGCGGCCATAGAGAACAAAGAAGAAGCCTGGTATGTATGGAAGGTGACCTCATAAAGGAGTCACATCTTCTTAGATGTCGATAAGTTCTAGACAAAAGACATATCATCTATCAACATAACATTAGCAACTTTCCTACGAGTATGAGAAATTCGAGAAGGAAAAATAATAGGCATTCAGAGAAAGGAGTTAAAGACCTTGAGGCATCATCTCCAGATAGTTTGTTCCATATAAGAGATCCCTTCTCTAGAGGTGAATGTTGGTCTTCATCCCGACCCCTCTTGAATGGAGCGGGATACTATGGTGTATCTTCCACAGATAAAGTGGTCACAACACTGGTAAGTTGGTCGACCTTGGGGAAGTTGCAGTAACTACGACGTCAGTGATAGAAGTTGTTAGACAAGTGACTTTAAGCACGAGAGAGAGAGGGGGGGGGGGGGGGGGGGGGGGGGTGGGTGGGTGGGTGGGTGGGTGGGTGGGTAAATATGATGTTCAAAATTCAGGATTATTTGTATACTTTTCTCAATTAAGATCTTATTAGTAGTTTTCTAAGAGTAAATTGTAGCGGAAATAAAGACACTAAAAGTAATTAGCAGGAATTAAAAGGATAGAGTTTGAGACATGAGATTTTTCTTTGGTTAGGTATCCTTCATCAAGGTTGAAAGCTATTGCAACCGACTTTAATCATCATTGTCATGATCAAAACTTCTTATGGATCTTCTGCGTTATTTTCATATTTATACATGCAATCACATGGATCCACAGTCTCCGCATTTTTTATGATTGAAAAATAAATAGCGTGTATATGTTTGAAGTGATTAAACTCCTCATCAGTTAAGTAGAGAGTATACTCTGCTCCCCTAAGATTATACTTCTCCCTCTTTCTCAAAATAAAAAAGGTTGATAAAAAATATGCATTGCAAGAAGTAAATTGTACAAACATAAGAACATAAATCAACGTATGTAGGCATATTAGTCCATGCATGGTTTATTTAATATTCCTAGTTCAGTTCTTATGAAAAATAAGTTTTCTTTAGGAAGAGGTTTAGTAAAAATATCTGCAAGTTAATTAGATGAGGTTTCAAATTCAAGTACACAATCCTATTTTTCAACATGATCCCTTATAAAGTGGTTCCTAATTTCAACGTGTTTATCTCGAGAGTGAAGTATGAGGTTATTTGTGAGGTTTATAATGCTAGTGTTGTCACATCTTATTGGGATAGATCCCAATATTTACACTATAGTCATTGAGTTGTTATTTCATCCAATTACATTAAGCACAACATTTGCCTACATCAATATATTCTTCCTCGGGTGTGTATAGTGCAACACTTCTTGTTGCTTGCTATGCCAGGAGACAATCGAGTTCCCAAGTAAGTGACTTGAACCATTGGTACTTTTCCTATCCAATCTACACCCGAAAAATTGGAGTCAGAGTACCCAAATAAGTCACAATCTGCTCCATTGGGATACCATAAACCCATTTGTTATGTGCCATAGAGGTAGCTCATAATGCGTTTTACAATGCTGAGATGTGATTCCTTAGAATAAGCTTGAAATCATGCTCACATATATACAACAAACATTATATCAATACGAGGTGTAGGTAGATAGAGAGTAAAGCCTATTATACCTCAGTACTTGCTTTCTTCAACTAGTTTTCCATCTTCGTCTTTGTCAAGGTTGCATAAGGTTGTCATTAGGGTTGATGTGACTTTCGATATCTCTATATAAAATCTTTTTAGAAATTCTTTGCAGTATTTAGCTTGATTTATGAATGTTCTCTTTTTGTTTTGATGGATTTTGAGTCCTATAAAGTACTTTAACTCTCCAATCATGGATATTTCAAACTATTTCTACATAAGTTTAGAGAATTCCTTACACAAGGATTTGTTAGTAGCACCAAAGATAATATCATTAACATAGATTTGAACCAACAAGATGTCATGCTTAGTTTTATTGATGAAAAGAGTTTTATCAACTTGTCCTATTTGGAACTTGTTTTCAAGCAACAATTTACTTAGACAGTCATACCATACTCTAGGGGATTATTTCAACCCATGTAGTGCCTTCTTAAGCTTGAAAACATGATCTGGAAAAGTATGGTTGATAAAGCTCGGAGGTTGATTCATAAATACCTCCTCTTAGGTGTAACCATTTAGAAAATCATGTTTACATACATTTGAAATAATTTGAAATTGATGATGCAATAGAAAGCTAATAACATCCGTATGGCTTCGAATATAGCTACAAGAGCATATGTTTCATCGAAATCTATTCCTTTATCTTGATTATATCCCTTCACAATGAGTCTGGCTTTACTTCTTAAAATATTACCATCTTCATCCAGCTTATTATGAAAGATACATCGTGAAGGTGTGAAAAATACAAGAAGGGGGGGGGGGGGGGGGGTTTAAATTGGACTTTAAATTAAAAAAAAGATTCTTTAAAAAATATTCCCCTTTAATTAAAATAATTTTTCTCCACTCTTGATAATAACAATAATTAAGAACAAGAAGTAAAGAGCAAGGTGTTAGAACATAGTTTGATTCTACAACCCTTGGTTAGAGTTTTGATGATAACAAATACAAAGAATAAATAATAAAATACAAAGAACAAATATGCACCTTAAAAATTATGTTTTATGTATGCAGAAGTTCTGATCATATCAGCATCAGAAGATAAGCCATAAGTGCTACACGCTGAAGCAATCAGAACATGCGCTGAAGATTGATGACCAGAACCTACGCTTAATCAAAGTAAACTCTGATTCTGAACAAGAACATACCAATTCAAGTCATCAATATTCTGAAGCGTCATCAGCAGGAAAGGAGATAAGATTCTGAAATGTTACTGATCATTCAAGATAGCATCAATTCCAACGGCTTCTTTCAAACAGGATCTTCTCCAAATGGAAAGTGTGTTAATGACATTAAACATTGAAATTCTGGAAACAGATACTTAATGTCACAGTGAATGTTATGACACCGTATCTGACAAACTTGTACACACTCCAAACAGTAATTTAAAATACAGTAAAGAACACAATCAATTGTTAACCCAGTTCAGTGTGTAACAACACCTACTCTGGGGGCTACCAAGCCAGGGAGGAAATTCACTATAAGAGGTGTTAATTTAGGAATAAACCAACCAGTTTATCTCCTTCACTTAAGACCTACCCAATGCAACTTCAATCTAAGTCCAACTTAAACCTGAGTTCCTACTCACTCCCCCTCAATCACAGCAGTGATACTAATCTATTGATTAATGAGATTATGAAGACATTCTTCAATACACACACTTGATTTTGCTTCAAAGCTTTAATCAAGAGACACAATCACTCGTGCTTCAAAGCTTTGAGTGATAACAACCCTTACTTGATTTTGCTTCAAAGCTTTAATCAAGAGACACAAACACTCGTGCTTCAAAGCTTTGAGTGATAAAAAACCCTTACAACCAAATCCTACTCCAAGTCACTTATCAAAACGATAACTGCTTGGCTCACAGTAGTTACAACTATACAATGCCTTATTGATCTTCTGTCAAAAGTGCTGCTAACCATTAGGCTTCGTCAGAAATATATAAGCTGCCTATTCTTCTTTTAGGGCTTCCATAAAAATAGCTAGGGTTAACTAAAGTTAACCTAAAGATTTGGTCTAGGGATTTTTCATAACAGATTAGAGTTAAGCAAGGTTAACCTAATGTCCACGTGAGCAGCTGATCTGGACAATAATTCTTCAACTCAGAGAAGCACACCAGTTTCCTGAAAATTCTCAGGAATAATAAATCTGTACAGCAACTTGATCAGTACAGGATGTCTTAACATTGGTTATGACATCATGAATCTTGTTCACTGATTTTGGTAGAATTCAGTATATATGATCATAGCTTAATGATCATGATAATCACTCATACTGAGTAGTTCCTGTAGAACATTCTTTCTGCAGAATGTGCCTTTATCCCAGAATGTTATGACATCAGTCATGACATTCACAATTCTGGTTTTACCAAAAAATAATGCCAACAAACAAACACTTACAAACTCCCCCTTTGGGAAATTTTTGGCTAAAACCCCTAAACAATCAGAGATTAGAATGCAGCAGAATTTTTTAATAACATCTACCAATATCTAATTCTACCAAAATTACCACAATTTCTTCTCCCCCTTTTTAGCCATAAAGAGGCTAAATATACTTGTACTTTAAGTTATACATTCATCCAAAAGGAAATTAAAAAAAAAACACAGAAATAAAGAGAAGGTATCATTTGGCAGCAACAAGTTCCAGCAACAATCATTTCAGCAAACACAGACCTTCAGGTACTGTCATCCCCTGAGGAAGCACTATTTTCAGCAGCATTATGTTGGTCTTCATCAGCATCCTCTTCCCTCATTTGTTCTTCATTCTCCTCCTGTTCCAGTCTAGTAATCAGCTCTTCAAGAGTCCTTCTTCTTGCATCAAGCTCTCTGCAGGTTTCTTTTAGAGCAGCTATAACATCAGTTTTCTTGGAATGAGCTTTGACATTTGATGTCTCAGCAGATGTCATAACAATGTCAGGGACATGTGTTCCCTGAAACAGCTTATAGTGAAAACCAAGTGCAGGGGCTCTTTTGCACCAGTCTTTTTCAACCAGGATATCAGGATACTGATCAATGATTATACCACACAGGAGAGAGGGAAAAGCAATAGGGCCTTTAATAGCACAACTCTCAGCATGTTTCAAAGTTTGATCAAAGATGTAGTTGCCATAATCAAAGTTTGTTATGGTTCCAACTGCATAGACAAATCTTCACAAACCTCTGGAAATGGTGGATTTGTGGTTGGTGGGAACCCAGTTAGCTGCACCAATTTTGTGCAGTATGGCAAACTTCATACTCAGCTTGCTTGCAGTTAGCTTCCCTTTCAAGGGCCAGTGCTTGACTTGCTTGGCAGTGATGGTTTGACAAACCTGGTTATCAGTAACTTCAAGCTCAGGTTGAGCATCATCAGGCCTTCCTAGGTATTTGTTTATCACAGTGGGAGAGAAAATTACCTTCCTTCCTCTCACATAAACACTCTTAAAATCAGCTGACTTTCCATCAGTACAACCACCAGACAAATTTACTATGAATTCTTTGACAAGAATCTCATAGCAGTTGGAAAACTTGACCACTATTTTCATCAGGCTAGCAGCTTTGATTAGATCCATGACTTTCTTACACTCAATAGCACTTCTGTTCAGCTCCCTCTCCAAGGCAATCCTTTTCAGAAACACATACTTCCACCTGCTTGCATTTTCTGGATGGTGAAAGGAGATGTTGTCAATGGCAACTTCAGGAACCTTAGGCAGTTTTCTAGAAGAGGGTTTCTTCCTGAGAGGAATGTCTGGAACA